TTAATATTTCAGCCATGAGGTAAGTATCATTATCATCCCCACTCAAGGCCATCCCTGGGTTTAGAGAGATTAAGTGACTGCCTCAAGGTCCCACAGTTTGGACATGGTGGGACCAGGTTTCTTACATATCCAGATCCATGACCAAGTACATCCTCTGAATGACTACAAATTCATATAAACACCTATAGCTATAGATATATAAATATAGGTATAGAGATAGATATATTTTTTAGATTCTCTGTTCTGATACATTGATATGAGCTTTTATTATTGTGATAATACCATGCTACTTTAGTTTGAGGCTTTTTTGAAGCTTTGTAGTACTTTGTAATATCTGGTAGATTATTCTTGCAAAATTATACCAGGTTGCAGGCATAGAAATGTTTACTATTGTAAACATGCATAGACTTAACACTTGGAAATAACCCAAGTGTCCAATTCAGTAAATTATGATCCATCCTTATAAAGAAGTCCAGTATAGCCACTTAAAGAATGTGGGAGATTTGTAAGTTCTGATGTGGAAAGAATTCCTAGGATATAATTTAAGGAGTGTTTTATAGAATAATCCCTTTTATGTAGCTAAAAATAAAGGATTATATGGGCATAAACTTTTAGGAGAGATACCCCAAAACTCTTAATCAGTTCCACCTTTTTGTGTTAATACATATGGACTTACCTCATCTTTCAAAGAAATGTATACTGTGTATCAAGTTTATCAAAATAGGTAAATAAAGAACCCCCCCCACCAGTCTAGTAGTCATATAATTTTATTTAAATAGCTGTGATTGGTGAATATTTAGGTTTTTCTAGTGTTTTATCATTACAGATGTGCATATAACCTTGCTTACATGTGCAAGAATATCTTTTCAGACCACATTATCCCCATTTCTGACTTCTTTGTATTTATCCTTTTTGCTAGAATGTAATCTCCATAAGGACAAGGATTTTTATTTGTTTTGACCACTGTTTGTAATAGATTATTATTTGGCAAATGTTCAGTCCCCACTCACTTCCCCTTGGGGTAACATATTCTTTCCTATTCTGTTGACTTTGATCTTGGCTCTGTGACTTGCTTTAGTCAGCAAAATGTGAGCAGTCAAAACATGACACCTGAAATCTGCTTCTGCAGCTTGGTTTGTCCCTTGCACTCCTATGATAGCCACAAAAAGGACATTCATCAGGGAGCTGCTATCCCTCTAGTCCAAGTTCCAGAATGTGACACAGGAACCAGACCTGAATCCAACCTGACGTCTAGGGTGAAGCAGAGCCACCACAACCTACCTACAGACCCATGAGTGAGAAAAATAAATGCTTGCTATAATCCACTGAGTTTTGGGATATCTTTCCCAAGCAGCACTGGAGCAATAACTAACTAATTCAGTGGAAGATGTGGAGGGTGTTGTAACAAAAGCCTAAAATATGTGGTATTGGTCTTAGGATCAGGTGAAGAAATTGTTATAGGAGGATGGAAAATGGTTACTGTGTTGTATACTGGTGAAACATTTGGTAAAACTGTTGTCTTCAGTAACTTGGCAGCCTTAAAAACCTTGTGGCATTTGGCAAGGATGTTGTGAGGCAGAATACTGGCACTATTGGTTGACTGTGGAGAGCTGATTCTTGTTGGTTATTGGAAAGATATGAGTATCAACTGGAAAGATATTTGGTTAGACATTGATAGTTAATTTGGTTATATAAGGAAAAAAATAATGAACTCAGGAAACAACTGTCTAGTTTTTAAGAAGAACTTAGAGGGAAAATAGTCCAGAAGTTGTGGAGTCAGAAAGTGTAACTGTTTTTCACCAGGTCAAAGTTGTGGCCACTTAAAACCCATGACACTGCCCTGTATCCATTACCTAGATGCAATCATTATCAATTCATGGTCAATATTGTTTCATTTATATGCCTTACCTATTTTTCCTGCTTTATTTTAAATTCCAGGCATAATTTCATCTGTAAATATTTCTCTATGTATCTAAAATTAAGGTCACTTTGGTATAATTGCTAGTGAGTTCCAGAAGTACCCCCCCCCTTGGGACTTTCCACAATCACATCACCTGCAAATAAATTTTTTCTTCCTCCCCAACCCGTATACCTTTCATTTCTTTGTCCTGTGGCATTAGCTAGAACTTCCAGTATGTGTTGGCTAGGAGTGGTGAGAGGGGATATATTTGTTCCTGATCTTTCTCCCTTATTCCTGATCTTAGGGGGAAGGCATCTAGTTCTGACCATTAATTATGATGTTGGCTGTAAGTTTTTGTACATGTTCTTTATCAAGTTGAGGGAGTTTCCCTCTATTTTTAGTTTGCTGAGGGTTTTTGTCATGAATAGGTGATGGATTTTGTCAAACGCCTTTTCTACATCTGATTATGTGATTTTTCTTCTTTAGCCTATTGATGTGATGGATTGCATTCATTGATTTTCAAATGTTGAACCAGCCTTGCATCCCTGGAGTAAATTTCATTTGATCATGGTGTATAATTCTTTTTATACACTGTTGGATTCTAGTTGATAATATTTTGTTGAGAATTTTGGCATCAATGCCCATGAGGGATATTAGTCTGTAGTTTTCCTTTCTTGTAATGGCTTTGTCTGGTTTTGGTATTTCAGTAATGCTGGCCTGGTAGAATGAGGTTAGGAAGTGTTCCTTCTGCTTTGCTTGTATTTTCTGTAAGAGATGGTAGAGAATTGGCATGTTTTCTTCCTTAAACATTTTGTAGAATTCATAATGAAATCATCTGTGCCAGTGCCTTTTGTTTTGGAAGGTTATTAATTATTTATAGTTTCTTCAGTACAGGGTTATTCAGATGATTTTTCTTTGAGCAAGTTTTGGTAGGTTGTGTCTTTCAAGGAATTGGTCCATTTCATCTAGGTTATCAAATTTATGGGTGTAGAGTTATTCATAATATTCCTTTACTATCGTATTTTCCACAGGATTCATAGTGATGGCCCCCTTTTTCATTTCTGATAATAGTAATTTGTACCTTTTTTCTTTTATTGGTTAGTCTGGGTAGGGGGTTATCAATTGTATACATCTTTTCAAAGAAATAGCTTTTGGTTTTGTTTTTCTGTATTGATTTCCTGTTTTAATTTCATTGATTTGTTTTTTTAGGGGGGAAGTAATTAGGTTTATTTGTTTATTTAATGGAGGTCCTAGGGATTGAACTCAGGACCTTGTGCACGTTAAGCACACACTCTACCACTGAACTTTACCCTCCCACCAATTTCATTGATTTCTATTCTAGTTTTTATTACGTCTTTTCTTCTGTTTGGATTTAATTTCCTCTTCTTTTGTAGATCTTACAGTGGAAACTTGGATTTTTGATTTTAGATCTTTCCTCTTTTATAATATATGCATCCATTGCTTTCACTGCATCCCACAAATTCTGGTAAGTTGTATGTCCATTTTCATTTAGCTTAAAATATTTTAAAATTTCCCTTGAGTCATCTTTGACTCATATGTTACTTACATGTGTGTTGTTAAATTTCCAAATATTTTTGGATTTTTCAACTAATGTTTTGTTATTAATTTCTAGTATACTGTGATCTAACAGTATACTTTGTATGATTCCTACGCTTTTAAATTTGCTAAGGTGTGTTTCATGGCCCAGATGTGGTCTGTCTTGGTGATGTTTGACGTTGGGGCTTGAAAAGGATGTGTCTTCTGTTGTTGGGTGAAATATTCTATGAATGCTTAGTGAAGTGTTGGACTTGAAGGTGAAACTGGAGTGGCCTCAGGAGAGAACAGAGGATGAGACCCATCCTGACAACTAACCTTAATGAGAAGCATTGTTTTATTAGCTTTATAATATCCCACCATATTTATTCAACCATTTAGGATGTTTCTAATTTTTCAGCATTTATAATAAATTCCCTTGTACACAGAAGATAAATTGCTGGGTCAGGGGGCAATAATTTTAACATTCTTGTTACAGTAGATGCATGCTGCTTTCATTCCTCTTTCGCAAAGCCAACCACATACACACACATGCACAACCTGCTCATTTAATACCCCTAAAATGGCATCTTGTTCTTTCATATATAATCATTAGATTACTAGTAAGGCTGAACATCCATCCTTTCATATACTTCTTTTGGCCATTCTTGTTTTTTTAATCTCAAAATTATGTTTATGTCCTGTTATTGGAGCATTCCCTCACTGCTCCCGTACCCCACTCCCCCCATCTCCTCCCTCTGGTCTCAGTTTACATGCCACTTCCCCAGAGTTCTCCCTACAAGACTCACTAGCATCATTCCTAGAATTCTTTCCTTCCTAGCACTTGTCAGTGTGTAGCTGCATGCATTTTTAAGATTAACTGAATTTCTGCCCCCACCTGCACCCCATGTCCCAGGAAGCTCCATCGGTGTGCTGCTCCCTTTTACAACCCAGGGCCTGGCACTGGCTCTTTAGGGGGTGCATTCTTTAGGTTTGTAGTTATTGGAATGGGATCTTTGGGCCTTCATTTTGTAACTGGCCCTTGCTGCTCTACGTGAAAACCATTCATTGTTGTGTTTACTTTTCTTCATTAACTGGTGCTGGGCTCCTCATTAAGCACTTAGTCGTTGTCTGACAGCTTCTCTGTGAACCAGACGATTGGGGAAGGCAGGCCCCGCCCTCTGGGGGATCTTGACCTTGAGTTCTGCCACAGCCACAGGCAGGGCAGAGGCACTTGCTGGGTGTTGGGGGGGAGGTGGGTAAGTTGGGTCATGGGAGCATCATCCATCCAAACACCTTGGGGACCTTGTGGCAAGACCCCTGGGCAGGGACCAGGACCATCTTGCTCCAGGAACCCCACCCTCTCTAGTCACTGCCCAGCAGCTGTTTAAGTTTTCCAGGTGTGCAGGGGGGTCCCCTGCATGATAACTGGGCAGGCCTGGCCAGACTTCCAAAGAAACAAGAGAATAACGTCAGCAGCCAGTTTTGTCCCTTATTTTAAGGGGTAGAGTAGGCTTGAAACACAAAGTTGATAAAGATCTGTTTTAATGTGGGCTTTAAGTGATGGTTTTTTCTTTTTCCCTCTAAGACTCAGGACAGAATTATATCATAAAATGTCCTTCTTTTGGTGTATTTTGTCCCAAAACAAAGCTTAGACCCACATATCCAAAAAGCAACAACAGAAAAAGAGCAACAGGCAGAAAGGAAGAACCAAAACTATTATTTGTAGATGGTATAATTTTTAACCACAAATTTTAACAGAACTGAGAAATTACTGAAAATTAAGAACATTCAGAGAAGTGGCCACCAATTTTGCAAATATATAAGTAAAAATAACTTTCCTATGTAAAAGCAATACCGACTAGAAAAATATAATGGAAAAAAACTACTTACAATAACAAAATTGTGTAGAACTTACATGAAGAAAATTAGAAAAACTTACTCAGGATACAATACTCCCATCAATGGAAAGTATGTTTCTGGATGGGAAACCAAATTTGTAAAGGTAATTTTTCCCCAATAGTTTATAGGATTAATCTATTCCAATCAAAATACCAATGTAAAACCTTAGGAAAACTAAGAGCAAAACTGATCAAGAATCCTTAAAATCTCCCATCACTGGATCGGTCCCATGAAGGCACCACTGGCCTTGCCTCTGGCAGATGTCAGAAGTCTTGGGATCAGGAGGTCAAGAGAACAAATACCCACTACAACGACAACACTGGAATCCTGTCTCTTGAGGGGTAATGTGAGCTAGCGACTGGAGACATAATTTCTAAAACTAGAACACTTTGCTTATGAGGTAGTGCCCACCCACTGCCAAAGGTCTGATGACCACTTAGATGGGAATGAAGCACACGGTAAATAAGGTTATTGACCAGCCATGGATCCAAACCAACGTCCTGTCTTCCTCCTCCTCTTCAGGCTCTTGGGGCTCCCCTCCTAGCAGGTTTTCTTCTTGGCTCAACAGAGGGACAAGATTCCAAAGAGCTTTTCCAGGAGTGGGGCTGGGTGGCCAGGCCTGAGCACCCCGAATTTCTTTCGGCAAGGGAAAGGCATGAGAGAGCTGTTTGAGCAATTAATGGCTGAACAAAATACAGTATGAATGTTAGATACTTCAATCATGTTGTGAAATGGATTTCTGTTAAGTTTTACGTTCCCCTACTAATTGCAAATGTTATTGAAACTGATCTTTGATCACCTACAAATGACAAGAGTAAGTCTTTGACATTCAATTGCTGTATTTTCCTATATTCCAAAGTAAACACTCCCTTTTAACTCTCAAGCTTACTGGTGTCCTTAGAGGGTTACATGAACTGCTGTATAGAAGCTGTTGGCTTAACAAATCAGTAGTTTGGTTCTTTCAGGGGAACACAGTTCCAGAAAAGGACATGTGCATCATTTCTCAAGTGTGAACTCTTATGTGGGAGAAAAAATAGACGTACTTTCAGAACACTCTGTTCACCTTGAAGGTAAGCAGCTTCCAGACTCCTATTTCAAAGCCTTTCTTGGAAAAGGGATCTGTGGCCTGTACATAGTTGTATAAGTTCACAAAAGAAAGCTCTTTAGTCCAAAAAGCCTGGTTGCTAACTGAGGTATAGCCCTTGAGGTTTTTTTTCCCCTGTGAATTTTCTAAAGACTTGAGGTTTCAGCCAAGATGGGTATTTACCCATCTTTGGCTCTAGTGAGGTTTTGGTATCTGTATTGTTTCAGATAGCCTGGGAATTCAGAATTCCTTATGGAACATTTCAAGTTGAGGCAGGACTATCCGACCTTTCCTGGTCTCACTTCTGTTTTCGGGTCTTACATGCTGAGTGCGTTTTTTCATGCCGGGTACAGTTTGACAGACGACCAAATCTTCTCCCACATTTTTTACAACCATATGGCCTCTCAGCCTTATGACTCTGCAGATGAATCACAAATTCTTTGTTTTCTGGGAAGGTTTTCCCACATTCTGGACACTTAAATATCTTCTCCCTTATGTGAATTCCTTCATGGCGACTCCGATGAGAATTTTGACGGAAGTTCTTCCCACACTGAGAACAAGAGTAAGGTTTCTCTCCTGTATGGATTCGCTCATGTTTATTAAGGTTTGTTTTATGATTGAAGCTTTTCCCACAATGACTACAGTCATAGGGTTTTTCTCCAGTGTGAGTCCTCTGGTGGGAAATAAGGTAAGAACTTTCGTTAAATTGTTTTCCGCACAGTGGACAAGTATACCATCTTCTTGTTCTCCTATTTCGGGTAAGTGCAATCACACTGATATCCACGTATTTTGAGAGTTCCTCAAGTGGAGTATCATTTTCAATAGTAACTAAAAGATTTCTCATTTTCCTTTCCTTTGGAATGGATGTATTTAGTCTTTCCTCTTTTTGGCAATCTGGGGGTTGCTCAGAGACCACGGAACAATCCACTTCATCGTAATCTAAAGACTTTTCTCTACAATCTTCATTCTCTACAGGTTCCTTCTGAAGATCTTCACCCTCAGGATTACTGTCATTGACTGCTGAAACAGAGAGAATTTAATAACTTTTGAGGGGTATGACACCAGGTGGGGAAAAACAAGTCCAATTCTCATGAAACTATTACCCTGAAAGTCAGAAATCTGAGCCCCAGCAAATAATTGCTATCAGCGCTTTCCCACTCTTGTTGAGGGTGGGATACATGACTGATAAACCCTTCCACACCCCATATGCAAGCACACAGTCCTCTTTCTACTTTTCTTTAAAAAATTGAAATGAGTGGAACTACACTGCAAGATTTCATATATTTTTTCTGAATGGCACTAATTACTCACTCACCAAGTTCATACTGACCTTATATTCTGTGTGGAGCATGGGGATGAGGACATAAATACTAAAGTGTGCCACTTATAATCTTTAGGAGGCCAATAAGTGAATGGTAAGAGTTACTTCCAGGTTTTCACCACATTCAATGTTACAATATTATAGTATTAGGTAACATTATAATATCCTATATAGTGAAAAACTGGAAACAATTAAAATAACCAAAAATAAAAGAGGCATAGTATATTCACACAATGGATTATTATTTGTACATTAAAGGATTATTAAAACCGACAAAAAATGAGACTATGGAAGACGTCAACAGTTGTCTTTTGGGGGGAGGAAGGAGAGTAGTGACTGGGCAGCGGCCCAAGAGGGATTTCTGGGGTGTTAAGAATAGTCAACTTTGGGTGTGGTTAGACAAATGTGTACATTTTGCAAAAATGTGAGCTTTACATTTATGATTTGTAGACTTTTCTGTATTTGTATTTCCCAAAAAAGTCTATAAAATAAGAGATTATAAAGACTAGGTGACAGAGTGGGAAAAAAAGTATGCTGTGAACAGACAGTGTGACAAGGGACTTGTCTGGGCAACTTACTGAGAATAAAGTAAAGGATTAAAGCAACCACTTAGATATGTGGTTGATCTTGAAGCTGGAATATGAATCTCTGCTGGATTTAGTAGATTCACACCAATAGATTTTCTTTTTAATTACTTCTTATAATTATTCCCTTAGGTTAATGAAAATGCTGTGTCAAAATATGTGCCAATTTTTATCACAGCTCTTGATATGAACTGCTATACCGCTTTCCAAAGAAGCTGTACAAATTTCAGTACAACTGTCAACATGTGGCTATCAATTTTACCTAATCTTGCCAGCATTAGATATAATTTTCAAATATTTAACAGATATAAAATGGTTTTTCAATGTAGCCTTATTTTACTCTTTGATTACTGCAAACCAGTAATTCATCTATTGGACTGAGACCCTTTATAAATTAAAATAAATTTTATATATTACAAATCTTAGTCTTTTTGTCAGTCACTACTGATACATTTTTTTTTCTTGGGCAGGGTAATTAGGTTCATTCATTCATTCATTTATTTTTTATGGCAGTACTGGGGATTGAACCCAGGACCCAAATTGTTATATATTTGTGATATATTTTTTTAATCAAAGTCTTCCTCTATAATAACTCAACAACTTAAGATACACACACACACACACATACATATGTATATAATCAGTCTTTCAGAATCTGATAAATTTCTATTCTGTCCTGGCCCTTCTTTTATGAGTTATTTTTACAGTTAACTCTGACACATATGGAATTCAGTATCACAGTGTTGTTTGTAACATGTCTAATATTGGTAAAACCCGCCAGAATATCTATTTCTACCTTTTCACAAATTTGACTGTGTTTACAGTATAAATAAATTTGGAGGGCACTGATGCCTTTACATGATTCCCATTTAGACCTGTTTCTAATATTTAAGAATCTTCTATTAACCAATAAAACGTCTCTAGTTTACTCCTATTTTATAGCCATTCTGAATGAGAGCTTTCATTATTGTGTGTGTATTTAAGCATGCTACTGATTGTTAAATATTTATCCCTATAGACCTACTTTAAAACTATTAAATATAATAATGTTTTTGTTGATCCTTTTAGATTTTCTAAGTACAGATCATATTTTGGTGCCTTTTCTTTCTAATATTCATTCTTCTTAACCCCTTTTTCTTATCTTCTTGCTTTAGAAAATCTAATTAATGATATTGATGGTGACAGCAGATTACGTTATTCTCAGTTTAAAGGAATTACCATCAGTGTTTTATAAATGATTATAAACATTAGGTTATATTTAAGAGCTAAATCTCTATTTTGAGAACAATTAACTGAAACTCAGAGGGGGAGGGTATAGCTCAAGTGGTAGAGCACATGCTTAGCATGCACAAGGTCCTGGGTTCAATCCCCAGTACCTCCTCTAAAAATAAATAAGTAAACCTAATTACCCTCCCCAAATAAAAATAAATGTAAGAAAGAAGAAAACTACAAAAAAAAAAAAAAGAAAAAGAAAAGAAAAGAAAATCGTATGATTTTTCTTATTTTCCTGAAAAAGTCAATGAAAATACAGTTGACACTTGAACAACATAGGTTTGAAATGCCTGGGTCTACTTATATGCAGATTCTTTCAACAGTAAATACTGCAGTACCACATAATCCAAGGTTGGTTCAATCTGCGGATGTAGAACCATGGATGTAGAGGAACAGCAGGTATGGCTATCCCTGCTGATTGCTGGTATCAATTATACTTAGATTTTTGACTGCTGGGAGGGGTGGGCACCCCTCACCCCTACATTGTTCAAGGTCAACTGTAGTTTACATTCCTTAAATGTACTAATTGTAAAAGTATTTTAGAAACTGACTATAACTCAATAAAAAAAATAAAATTTATATTTAAAAAAGTATTTTAGTAAATATATTGATATGGCTCAAAAATCAGAACATGAAAGGTTATACACTGAGAAGCCTTACTCTATAATCTCTGTCCGCATCCATTCTATTCATCCCCCAGACAGGTTCATTAATTTTTTTGTTCTCCCATTATTCCTTTAGGGAATACATTTTTCTTTTTCTCCCCCTTTCTTATATAAAAGGTAATACACTATGTATATTTCTGCTACTTGTCTTATTTCAGTCACTATAGTCCAGTGCAGAGAGATTATTGTGCTATAATGTGTGGAAACATACTATATTCAACGAGTCCCCTGCAGAAACACTTGGATTGTTTTCAACCTTGTGTTCTTACAAACAATACCACAATAAATAACCCTGTACCTTATTTTGAACATATGCTGTTGCTATTATCTGTAGCTCAGATTCCCAGAAGTGGGTCTGCTAGATCAAAAGGTAAATGCGCCTGTAACATGGGTAATTACAGATTCCCATACATAGGGACTGCACCACTCTGCCTGCCAACCAGCAATACACCTGTCTCCCAACAACCTCACCACCAATGTGTTGTTAAATTTCTGATTTCTATAAATCAGACAGATTTTTTAAAAAGGTAACTCAGTAAAGGATTTATTTGCATTTCTAATTATGAGTAGGGCTGGGCATCTTTTCATGTATTTAAGAGTAATTTGTATTTCTAAGAGAATCTGTTGGTCTTTCTCTTCCCAATTTCTAGGATCTCTAATAAATTAGGGAGATTAGGCTTTTGTCTGATAAGTTGCAAATATTTTCCCTTAATATACTGCATTTTATTTGCTCATATATTTGTTTATATTGTCATACATAAGTTTTTTTTTTATGTGTTTACTTTATTGATCTTGTCTTTCAAGACTTCTGGATTTTTCTGTCTTAGAAAAGTCTTCCTAGCCCATGGTTATATAGGAATTCACCCACATTCTTTAACTGTGTGTTTTTTAAAAAGCATTTAAAATCTTTGATCCACCTGGAGATTTTCTTCGTGTGCAAAGTAAGGTATGATTCACCAAATGGCCATTAAAAACGGCTACTAAATTGTCCCAGTACCTTTTATCAAAAATCCCTCTTTACCTTGGTGATTGGAGATCCCAACTTTACCATAAACCAAATGTGTATCTGAAGCTATTTCTGGGCTTTTTATTCCATCCTATTGGTCTATCTACTCACATGCCAATACTGTAACACTGTTTTCAAGGCAGGCTTTAGACACTGCTTTAAACCTGAGAGGCTAGAACCCTCCTCCTCCACTGCTCTTCTTTGTAATTTTCCTCATTACTTGTATTTATTTTTCCATTTGAATTGGAGATCAGATCGCCTAGTTCCAGGGGAAAAAATCCTACTGGCTTTGTTAAGGGATTACACTGAACTTATAAATCAATTTAGAGAGAACTAACCTTTATGTTAAATCTTCCCAACCAAGAACATGTATTTCTTTCCATTCACTCAAATCTACTTCTATGTCCTTTAAAAGTATTTTAAAGTTCTCCTTATAATTTCTGCACAGTTCCTAAGCTTATTCCTAGGTGTTTAATCTTTTTTGTTCCTATTGTGTATCTTCTAAACAATTGTGTTTGCATATATGAAAGCTAATGATTTCCATATAATAATTTTACATCCCATTGTCTTACTGAATGCACATATTATTTGTAATAAGTTTTCAGAAATTCTCTAGGATTTCTCAGCTACACCATTATCATATGTAAATAAGCTGTAGTCTGAATTTCTCTCAAATTCTTATACGACTAATTTCTCATTTAACTGCACTGGCTAATACCTGAACCACAATATTAAATAGTGGCAGTGCTAGTGGGCTTCGTTGTCGTATTCCTAATTCTAGTGGGAACACCTCTCAGTGTTTCCCATTAAAGATGATGCTGGCTGAAAGGATAAGTAGTCCATTAAGGAAAAATCCATTAGTTACTATTTTGTTATCTTTCTTATGAAGAAGGAGTTTGTATTTTGTCAATTATCTTTTCAGTAATTATGAAAATGATCATCGGATTCTTCTTTTTATTATAAGATGGAAAGACTTAGAATAAAAAGATTTTCTATGACTAACTCATTTTTGCATTCCTGGAATAAATCTTATTTGGTCATGGCAATTTTTTTTCCCCTTTGGGGGGTAATTAGGCTTATTTACTTAAATGGAGGTACTGGGGATTGAACCCAGGACCTTGTGCATGCTAAGCACATGCTCTACCACTGAGCCATATCCTCCTGATCAAGGC